AAAAAAAAAAAAAAAACACTAATTGGAATATTAACTTGCCAAATAATTTAGTTAAAACCGCAAACGTCTCATTACAGCTGGCAGCTGCTCAAATAGGAAAACTTGACTCTTATATTGCAGGGCATTACTGGATTTATCTGTGGTGCTGATGGTCTAGACAGTTCAGGCCTTAGCTCCTCAGCAGCTGTAAGTATACTGCTTTGTGTTTACCAATTTCATGTGTTATGCTTGGAATTTTGAGGACTGGTTTTTCCCCTTGTTGATGTACGTGTTACAAATGGCTCTCGTCTGACAGGTTGGCATCGCGTACCTGTTGGCTTTTGAAAGTGCCAACAAGCTCAAGGTATCCCCTACAGAGAATATTGAATATGATAGGTATGGTTGTTCTTTATCTTATTTTTTCCTTTACTCTTTGTTTATTTATTTATTTATTTTTTTTCCGTTATGAAATTTTATATTTATCATATATTCTTCTCATCTAGATCCCTATTCATCCTTTTTGTACACTCTTCTCCAAATGCAGGTTAATTGAAAATGAATATTTGGGTTTGAGAAATGGCATATTGGATCAATCTGCCATACTGCTTTCTAGCTATGGCTGTTTGACTTGTATGAACTGCAAGGTAAATATATATTATCTAATTTAGTTAATATTCTGATGCATTTTCATGTTTCATCAAAAGTCAGTACATGATTTTCATTGTCTATTTATTTATTTTAAATTCTATATTGGTTATCTTATTACATTTCTCATCCAGAAGCTTTCCTTTTGAACATGATGATGATCCTTCATGTGCAGACCAAAGAACATAAACTTATACTCGGTCCGCAATCCAACGGGAACCATAAAAATGAGATGAACAAGAAATTCAAGATATTACTGGCGTTCTCAGGGTTGAAGCAGGCTTTGATATCTGGTAGCGGTTATAACTCCCGAGTCGCAGAATGTCGAGAAGCTGCAAAAGTTCTTCTTCAGTAAGATTCTTCTGTTATATATTTATTCTGTGCCCCTCTTCATTCTGAGCCTTCAAAAATATTCTATCACTTCTTATATAAGGATTCTGAAGTGTGTTATTTTGTGTGAATGGATTCCACATCCCATCATGATTTTACATTACCTCAAAATGAATATTACCAGCCACAGTTATCAAAGTCATCCAAATAAGTATAGCCAATTTGTTCTCACAGATTTGAAACCGCTTTAGTGGTTTTTGCCTTGAAAAAGTCTTAGAATCTTGCCAGTTTTTTTCAGTCCCATTCACTAATCTGCTTAACCATAGGGCCTCTGGGAAAGAAGGGCTAGAGCCTCTCCTGTCCAATGGTACTTATCACAAGCTCTCTTTTGTTCGATTTTTTAATGAAATAAAGATTATTACATTCTGAGAATTTGTAAATTTGCTCCAGTTGAACCAGAAGCTTATGAGGAGCATAAGGTAAGTTACATGTGTTGCTTTTCAAATGTCATATTGAACTCTAATGTCCGACGAAATTGGCTGTATACACGTATATCAGATTGTCCACACCTTAATAACTCAAACTGAAGATTTTGCAATGCATTTGTGGATTCGTGCAGTGCAAATTACATCCCACTCTTGCTAAAAGAGCAGAACATTATTTCTCAGAGAATAGGCGAGTCTTGAAAGGTACGATTCTTGCACTTAAAACATCTCACCTTGATTATTGGTATTCATTTTTCTCATTCTCTATTCGACACATTTGATTTGCTACTGTTTTTAACTCAAAGGGATCGAGCTTTGGGCTTCCGGAAAAATAGACGAACTTGGGAAGCTAATATCGGCATCTGGTTTGAGCTCCATTCAGAATTATGAGAGCGGTACCGTTTTCTATTCCTTCCATAGACATATATATGTCTACTAACAAAAGATTCACAATGCAAAAAGTAACAAGAAAACTTATTTCATCAAAATTATACTCTTAACGGTATTTAAACATTACTAATTAGTTTCTTGTTCTGTTTGTTTGTAACAATAATATGTCTGAACAGGTTGCGAGCCACTTATTCAACTGTACGAGATTCTTGTGAAAGGTCCAGGTGTTTATGGTGCCCGTTTTAGTGGTGCAGGCTTTCGAGGTTGCTGTATTGCTTTCGTTGATGCTGATCGGGCTTTAGAAGCCGCATCATATGTTACGGAAGAATATCCAAAGCTCCAACCTGAGTTGGCAAGCCAGATGGGTAAGGATAAGTTGGTACTGATATGCGACACGGCTGATTGTGCTCGTGTAATTTGAACATCTACAATTCATTTTTTTTTATTTATTTATTTTTTTTTTATCTCTTTTTCATTTTTCTATTTGATAAATTTGATCCCCATTGTTCCTACTGGGATTTGTTATTGCAATGAACTGCACAGTACATATCTTATGTTATTGATATAAAAATCCCAGTCTAAAAGATTCTGGTTTGATTGCACAAAACCAGTCGACTCAATTGCACAACAACAAAGCCACATAAAATGTTATTCTAACAAGTATATAAACAATGTTGTTACAGTCGCCAGTTGCTCGCTAATTTATTACTAAATTTATTTATATTTGTCATCGTACATGATATATTATGTAAAATATGTTAAATATTTCAGTTGAATACAAAGATTATTAGATAATCTAATACATTCATAATTATTATATTATTTGTGAAATTTTTAGTAATATTTTTATTATATAATATAATTAATATAAATTCATGTGTAAAAATTAGAATTATTTTTTTATTTTTAAAAAAGTAAATTAAAAAAATTAAAAAAATATATATATACGAGCATCTAAACACCGCCTAATCGTTAAAGCGCCTAGAACGACCACCTAAGCAAAAGTCGTGGAGTACAAATACCGCCTTTTAGTACAGAGTATAAGAGACTGACTGATGTAGAGAAGCATAGAGTGAGATGATATTAATGAGATCGCAATCTCAAGAACACCAAAACAATATACCAATTCATATTTTTATTCAAAATCAACCAAGGAAAATAAACTAGAGAGGGTCCTTTATACAAGACTCTTAACCCTAGAGCTTAACTTATCCAACAAGACAATAACTCTTATTAAATATTAAACAAGAATATTAAATTCCTAACTTATTCTCCAAGATACCTAATAATAATAATAAAACCAGGAGCCAGGTTATAGAATAAAATCTGCAAATTCGTCTTAAGGTTGGTGAAACATTCAAGATACAAGGATAAAGAACACATAATGTTGAAAGCAACAAATCCAGTTCATCTAACAAACCTCACTGTCTCAAACATTATAAGAATAATACGCAGACTAACTTAGGCAAATCTGACACAATATGCAAGCCATTGTAGAGCATGCAGAGAGCAGGATCAAGCAGTCATCTCAAGGTTTGGGCTTCAGGTTAGAGCTGGGCTTGCGCTGGATATTCAAGAAATGCTCAACCTGAAAATACACGGGAGTTTAAGAGATGTATGGTTAGCCAACACAAATAAATAAATACATAAATGATACTAAATGAAAATATTCATGGGAAAACAACACAAGACCTTTTTGTCACCGAGCATAGGGGTCAAGCCTCCAGCAAGGTCCTTCTCCACAGTAGCAAAACCACTTCTTGGATCACTTGTTTGCCTGCACACAGAAAGGTGAAGCAAGTCATTTTATTTTATATTTACATGAATTTCATGCTTAAGACAAGTAACCAAAAAAATATGAACAGAGAGGACATAATTCTTGGGTGCATATGGGTGTGATTTTCCAATCTAATATGAATAAGAAGCAAGCACATATGAATGAAAAATTATAATTAGATATTATCCAATCATTCAGCCAAAATTTTATTCATAAATCTATGGCATTATCTAAGCCTGGCTTTGGCAAGACAATTCCTTAAGATTCTACGTGATTGATGAAGTCGAGCATATACACAGAAAAGAAAGACATAAGTGTTTATGAAAGAGAAAAACAACCATACCCTGGTTTAACATGGCCACTTAGGACAAGATATGGGGTTTGTAACTTGGCTTGAGCTTCCCTCATTCTTTCAACTGATTGTGATGGCGTATCTGAATTTTTCATTCGCTTCACCCTCAGTTCCTCCTCATATTGCCTCATGCGCTTTTCTTGCTTCATTTTTCCAGGCTCCTTCCCATGGAACTTGTGTGAAAGCTGTCGAAAAGCTTCTTTTGGCGTCAGCTGTTGAAGATGACAAAAGAAATTCCATATTAGATCCATGTGTTCCAAATACATCACTTACTCGATCCAGTCACAAGAAGTTCCGACTAACAGATTTTCATTCTCTCAAGATTGAATGGCAAAATAAAAATTGATGTCTGCATTCAGTTACATGACTTTTGCTTCATTATGATATGCAAATGCAACTAAAGAATCTACCTGGCACATACCATCGAGAATAAAACAAGCAACAAACATGCAAAAACCATTGCATACGAATACGTCAATGAAATCATAAAATAATGAACACTTACAATCCGCCCATATTCATCGGTCCTTTCGATGCGTATTTCCTTTTCTTCACCATTGTTAATGCCAACAAGTTTGCTTTTCTTCTTGTCCATGTTTCGACCACCCCACTCAACAGTTTCCTTCAGTACTCCTCGATCTTGCAGAAGCTTGAGAGTGGCAGCAATACCTTTGCCCACAGCAGGTTCATGGATTGTCTCATCAGGAACAACCTCCTTTTCTTCCTCTTTTAAAGGAATTTTGTCCTTTTCGGTTTCTTTTACTTGGCTCCAACCACCATCTACGTCCTCCATTTCCTGATCAGAGGTGGTGCGTGGTCCGACATCTTCCTCCATGAATACATCTTCACTCTCTGGATTTTTCTCATCTGAGGGTGCATGCAGAAATTACGATGAGATTAAGCATTTAGTCAAACAAGAAAAGAAACCAAAATTATAGCGACTACAAGACAATAACACTGGGCAAGACAATNCTGATATTGCAGGAAGAAATGAACACTCAAAGATCTCTAATTCGAGCACCTAGTGAACTGAAAAGAAACTAAGATGACTTTCAATGTGATAATGATGACAGAAGAGGAAATTTTAAATAAAGGAAGAAATAACCGTACCATCTTCAAGTTGCAGACCCCATACAAATTCTTCCATCTCCGTAAATACAACCTTGTTCTCTGGTTGGTCACCAGAGCCTGCATCCGGATTCTCCTTAGTTGAATCATCGGCAGTGGTAGAAGCAAGCCTTATTAGAACATCTGGTCCAGATTTTTCTTCTTCTTTTTGCTTTTTCAAAGCTATTTTTCTCGCTGTTTCCAATGATTTACGAAGATCCTCATCATCATCACCGAAAACAGGAGTTTCCTCTTCCTCTATCTGAATTCCAGATGCTTGTTCTTGTCTGAGTGCTTTAGATGCTTCTTCTGCTTTAGCATATGCCAACTTGTAGGCATTCGCTCTCATTTCCGCCTCAATCTTGTCTTGTTCTTCCCTACGATTTCGTCTTTTCCCATCATTTCTTGAACCGAGATCCTCCGAGCCCAATCCCACAGATATGGCCTCTGCTTCCAGGGCATCTAAGTCCAACTTCTCCTTCTTCCGCAAAGATTTCTTTTTCTTTGGTTTTTTGAACTTTGTCATCTCTTCTTCTGTGTAATAATCTGATGATATCTTCCCATTTGAATTGAGGTCTTCACCACGAGCAATTGCAGATGTGCCTCGAATTCTTTGACGAAGCTGTCATGAAGTTAAAAAAATTACATTATCAATCAATCTTCCAGTTTTATGGGCCAATTTAACATAAGTATACATGAGATTACCTCCTCCAACTTCCTCTCAGCTTCACCAGTGAAATGTCCACTGGAATCAAGTGTTACACCCTGTAAGAAAAATCACAATATGAATATAATGAGAATCAAAATAAATCAAAATGGCTTTCAAAATGGCATCATTTGAGGGAAAGTATAAGATTACATTTCACATGACTTGATACAAGTGAATTCTTAAATTAATTAATTCCGCTGCAAGTCTCCATATCTGGGTGATACTGTATTGTTAAATACAAGAGACAATTGCGTCTAGCAGAATCTTTAGGGATACCATCTATGGACTTAAGTCAGATGGCAACAATGTTATCTTTTTATCTCTCCTTTCTTCCTCAAAATTCCACAATAATGCAAATAATATATAATCAAACGAAAAAGAAGAAATAAGGAGAGAGAGAGAGAGAGAGAGAGAGAGAGAGAATCCAGAGAAGAGATCAAAATTAACCTCATCAGTCATGGGGTCATCATATTGTGGAAGTATTCTTTTCTCCGCACCAGGTTCCTCACTGAACCTAAACAATATGAATATGGAGAATGAGTCAGTCACTCTTCATAAAAAAGTAAATGAAGATCAATGTTTAGTTAGACTTACTTATCATCATAAACACCTGTCTTCTTTTTAGCAGCCATATAAGCCTCATTCCTTCGCTTCTGCTCCCCAATCTCCACATTTTCGAGCATATCAGTCTCTGATATATACAATTTTAACGTCACCTTAGGAAATCTGAGTCCAGAAAATACCCCCAAAAGGATGAACAAACTGGAGAAAAAACAGAAATAAGGCCACAAAGAAATAATGGTAATTAAATACTTTACCTTGATTAATATCCCCATCAGCTAGTATGCTTTGATCTTTGAGCGTCAACACAACTGCCCCACCTTCAAGTACTTTATCAATCCCATGAAGAATTTTTACCCCCCCTAAGTCATCTGCAAATAGAAATAAAAAACAAAATGTTACTCATGGCAGCCAAATGTGAAAATGTGATTTCAGATTCATGGAGAAATTTAGGAGAAATTCTTTGAGTTGATAAGTTGAAAAGACACATACGTGATATGTGTTGAGTTGCTGCCTCATCATCACTTTCTTCATCATTCATATTATCCTGTCGCACACAAAGAAAGTGTCACCATATGTTTCTGCTGATCAGTCTGAATACAAAAAAATATAAAATAATCCTACAAATGCAAAAATTTATCAGCACTACAATCAACCTGCTCCTCAAAAATTTTAGAAAGCTGTGCAGCTTTTTCCTTTTCAGCATTCCTTTTATCTTCAAGCTTTCTGCTCCTGTTCACCCAAGCTAAAACTTCAGAAGGCCCTTCAGATGACTTCAACCTTTCTTCTCGCATCCTGAAACCACAGTTTAGTTTACTAAAATTTAAAATTGCCTCTCATTTCATGACGTTCATGAAATCGATACACACAACACACCAAAAATGGAGTCGATCCGTTCTCTTCCATTGTAGAAGTAGCACTTCACAATTGTAAGTGGGCAAGACCAAACACATGCAGTATTTAATCCAACAAACCAAGGTACACAACATTTTTCAGGTAGTAAAGTTCCAGCATTGGAGCCAATAAAGGGGGGTAAAATTACTTATTATTTTAAATTTTATAACAATGAATGTGCCAACTATTAAGGATATGATCATTGAGTTAAGACTTACTCCAACACACTCAACATGATAGATTTTACAGGGGAGGAAACCTCAAAAATAACGCATACATAGCTTGTGCATATGTATAATATACAGTAATAGTATTGGAAAGTCATTTCCATGGTTACTTCATAAAAACGGCCGGGTCTTCTCCATAGACCGGGGTCTTTAACTTCAAGTGGCTGTTCTGCCATTTGATCTAAGAAAGTTCTGTTTCTTTAAAGATGATATGATTGTTTCTACCCATATAAATTCACTTTCACAGTAGTGCCTACCTCAAGAGTCGAGAACTGCAGTGTCTTACCCTGTCCCTCGCTTACCAATTAACATATAGACCATAAATGAACCAAAAACTGGAATAAACATGAGAATAACGAACTTTGCAGCAATTGGTCAAAAAACACAAAAAGAAGACGACAACAAAGAAGACAATGATGAATGGGAAAAAGGACAGAGAGAAAAATAACAAAGGTTCATTACAGAATATTCCCTAAACAATTAAGCATCTGACGAATTTTAGCATATGTAATGCTTCATAATTCCTATTCAAAATATAACATGCTCTCAGCAATTAAAACTAAAGGAAATATGCTAAACGATAATAATATCAAGCAGTAGATAATGACTTACTTGGAAATGCGCTCCTCCAACTCTGGTGCTGATTGACAGCTTCCCGAAGCCAGAACCTCAGACTTTTCTTGCTTCCTGATGGATGCACTCTCATCATCGAACTTATCTAACCGCATCTTACCAGACTGATTATCACGAGAATAATCACTATCCAATCTCAAGTGACCATCCTTCTCCATATCCTTCCCCGAACTCTCATCCTTATGTTTACGGCTACCCATATCTCTGTCCTTGGCCCGTTCTTGATCTTTATCTTTGCTCTCCTTCACTTTCTCCCGCTCATCTTCATCTTTACTTCTATGCTTAACATTTTCCCTTTCCCTCTCCCTGTTTTTATGCCTATCCCTCTCCTTCTCCCTCTCTTTATCTCTGCTCTTCTCTTTGCCCCTCTCCTTCTCTCTCCCTCTCTCACTTCCCTCAAGATCTCTCTCCCTATCCCTCTCTCGGTCCTTTTCCTTCAACCGATCCTTCCTTTCTCTATCTTTCTCTCTTTCCCTATGCCTCTCGCGGTTTCCATCCCTCTCCCGGGCTTTATCCTTTTCCCTTTCATCTCTGTCCTCCTTTTTCCTATCCCGACTAGATAACCTGTCTCTATCAGCCTCCCGACTGGATAACCTGTCTCTATCAGCCTCTCTTTCCTTCACACCATCAAGGGCTTTCGACCTCTCTCGATCTCTACTCCTATGCTCTTTCTCCTCCCTTTGCCCACTGCTTCTACTCTGATCCTTGCTACGGTGCCTCCCTGCCTCAGATTCATTCTCAGCGAAATCATCATATTCTCCAGTCCACCTCTCCCGCACAGGCATGTCACTATGGTTACGTTTATCCACACTTCTTGCACGCGGGGATTCAACCCTATCTGCCGCCATTGCCCACAATACCAAAAGGTAATCTTGAATCTAACCTGTATATCCTCAAAAACTAACCTGCAAGGAGTAAACAGAAATAAAACTAGTTTATTCCTCAAAACTGACATCAATAGCATGAATACATTTTTCAGATTTAAAACATAACCATTCAACAGATTGAGAAAAAATCCGATGGGACTCAAGATTCATACCTGAGAACTCGAAGAACTGATGACTTGCGATTTTGTTGCGCGAGAAAATAAATTGATACGAGGGAGCTTCTGATTGAGAGAGAAAATGGGGACGATGACGCTAACGTGCTGGTTTAGGGCTAAAACATATGGGCTCGTTGAAACGAATTTATCTGTTGAGCAATTTATTATTATAATTAGGGCTGGTATCGGTTCGGTTACCACAATACCAATACCGAACCGAACACTGTCGGTTTCACTACTTTGCGAACCGAAACCGAACCGATAAACATTCGGTAACCAAAAAGTCGGTTACCGATAAAACAGTTCGGTTACAGTTTAAACCGATAATAAACCGAAAAAACCGAGGCTAATTAACAGAGCAGCAGATTAAGAAAACAGAGCAGCAGAAATGCAGAATAAACAGAGCAGCAACAGCCTAGCAGCAGCCATGAATTAACAGCAGCAGATTAAGTAGCAAATGAACTAATGAACATGATCTAATGAACCGAAACTTAAATGAACATCAGCAGCTCAACGGGTTCCCAATCCCATATCCAAAATGCATGTTAGAGAATAAGCTATAAATATTAAATCATATCGAATCAACTCAACGGGCCACCCTGCCCACATCCCGGTTATGATTTTTGTGTTTCCTTTGAAAACAAAATTGAAGATAATTATCGGATTTGAAGATAATTACCTGAGGCACGGCTGACGCGAAGGTGAGTTGCTGAAGCCGTGAAAGTGTGTCGGTGAAGGAGGCGATCTGAGGTGAAGGTGAGGTGAACCGTGAACGACTAATGAACGATTGTACTCCCAGGTGAAGGTAACGATCTGAAGGTGAGGCAAAGGTGAGGCGGTGAAGCCGTGAAGGTGTGAACGGCAGATTGATGAACGAAGCCGTGAAGCCGTGAAGGTGAGGCGATCTGAATTTCTGAAGTGAACTGATGAGATGGTTGATGAACGAAGGAGGCGATTGAAATTTGAAGGTCCAGCCCTAAAATTTTGAAGGCCCTAATCAAAGAAGCGATTGAAACTTGAAGGTCCGTCCTTTTGTCTTAGATAGTTAGATTAATTAAGATTTAAGATTAAATTATTTTATTTAACTAATATAATAATAATATATCTATTCAATACCAATATTTTTAATTTTTTTTTATATATTGTTACCGGTTTAGTTTGGTAAAATCGAACCCTTATGGGTTCGAAACTAATACCGAACCGATAACATTTCGGTAACCGAATTTCGATTATCATTAAACATAATTCGGTTCGATTCGGTTTATTTTCACATCGGTTTGGTTCAATTTTCGATTTTCGGTCAAAAAAATAACAACCCTGAGTATAATTGATATGATTGTTAGTGTGAATTTATTCATTATAAAATTTTCAAGTGATTTAATTATTTATATTGTAAGCATTCCACGATGTAAATATTAATTTCTTTAATAGTCGCCGGAGAAGTATTTAAAATTAATAAAAATAATCAGAATTATTATGTTTCAATCATATTAATTAAATGAATGATTTAAAATATAAATGACAATTGGTGTAAATATATGCTCAACTTTATAATATATGATTCATCATAAGAGAGAAAAAAAATAGATCTCCGTTCGAGTACAACATTTTTATTAATAATAATTGATATGAGATACCAAATTGGGTCAGCTCGACTCGAGAAGTAGTCTAACCAATCAAGTGAACTGGCAGGTCGATCAAAGATCGAAGGTACCGAAGAACAATGAGGCATCAGGTCGATTGTGACAACGCAGGTGGATGAGATCGCTGACATGTCGAACTAGGGCCCTCGAATGGCTTGATAGAAACTCGACATGGAGGTATGCAAGTCGACGTATCGACCTGAATGACGGTGTGCAAGAGCACGGCGAGAACGCAATCTAGCTCAAGAAAAACGAGCTGGTCGTATGACCAGACCGTCTAATAGGACATACTGATGAATAAGAAGGAATATAATCAAGATAAGAATCACACATGGACTAGACCACGCGGCCTAACAGGATTGGACAATTCCGGCACTTGGGCAGTATGAACGAGCAGTTCGGGCACTTTGGCAGCCCATCTAGGCAGTATTGAGCAACACGATAACACCCTATATAAAGGGGTGCGGTATGACAATTCAAACCCTATGCACTCTAATATACTTACAAGTTTATATATATGTTGTTCATCGTCTTCATCAATGTGGACTGACTTGATCATCGGAGTGCTAATGGCGGGAACACTTCCTGGCCCATTTTGCAAGTCTTTGAATCGGATGTGAGCAGATCTAAGGTCGTTCCACCTGGCCAAGGTCATTTGCACAACATTTGGTGCCGTCTGTGGGGAACTCTTTCGAAAAGTTATCAAATCACCATTGATCGGGGTTCTTGGGGACTCTTTATTGGCGAGCCATCCCAGAGGCAGCCCCGACCCGAGAGATCGTGTCTGTAGCCAGGTATCATCACCACTTTTCTCTATGCGAACTCCTTCTCTTTCTGCCATTGATGTTGACAAATGTCTTGTTCAAATTGTGTAAAATACATTGTTCAACTCCGACCTCAGTAGAGTTGGGTTTTCCATAGACGACGCCAATTTGATAGAGATGTACCAGATAACTCCGATATGAGGTCGTCGGTCTTCTTTAGATCCTCGAGTCGACTTAACTTTGCTTACTGAAATACCTAAAAAAGCATCAGGAGAGTCCACGACGTGAATTCTCCGACGATCAAGTAAGTTTTTATCTACGTAGAAAGATGGCGTGTGAAAGTCATTAATATTTATATTAAGTAAAAACCCAAAACCTTTTTGTGGCCAAAACACAGTCCTTATATATAAAAGTAATATTTTGCCCAAGAATTTCTTATCTTATTGCCCAAAATTATCTTATCTACTCTAGGTCCATTGTCTAAGAGTTTAACTAACCAGGTCTTTAGGTGTATAGGTCGTTATGTCGGTAGCTCGACCTAATGCTTTTAGGGAAGCTTTCCCGACATAATAGACATGTACGACCTGATATACCTGAATTTAGGTCGAATCAGGAGAGCTGATTGTCCATAGTCCATATTATATTTAATTTTAATCATTATATTTTATCTCATATCAATTTATAAACTCAAAATTAATCCATTCTTATACCCAAACCATTTTTTCCATTCTCTAATATATTTTTAATTTAGTTTGATACATTAGTTGGATTTTGAACTGATAAAATAACAAAATAAAAAAAGATATTTGCAATGTGTAGATTGGAGAATTTCTTCTAAAACAAAAATAAAGGCTTGATTGTTTATGAAATAATTTGTTCAAAATGAATTATTTTAGTTAACCATAGTTAATTTTGAAAAAAATGTGGTATAGTTAGTTGTTAGTGGAATTTTAAGAATGAATTAAAATAATATTTAAAATAAAATGACTAAAATTGATTTGATGTAAAAGTAGGAGATAAATAATTGGAAATGGTATATAGTTAAAATTATGTGAGTGGATGAATAGTGAATTAAAGTTGATGTAATGTGTAAGAATGATTAATTTATATTATTTAATTATATAAATAATATTAAAGACAGTGAGACTGAGTTAAAATTGAGTTAGATTTTGAGTATAAACTAAAGTTGAGTAAATTATTTCATAAAGAATCAAGCCCTAAACATGCACCACGTCTTTTATTGGGTCTTGAATATTTATAATAATCTAATTAAAATTTAAATATCCTTTCATTTCATGAGTATGCTTAGATCATCTGTTTTCACCATTTTACCCATCACCAGCTCTCCCCCACCCCCAGTACGTAAAAGTGTATAACTAACAAAAGCGAATTTTTGACTAACAAAAAATAAAATAAAATAAAGTGGACAAAAAAAAAGAATAAAAAATGAGTGGACAAAAATCGAAAAGTCGTATTCAGCAAATACGTTTTCAATAGAAAAACGTATTATACAATACGGTTTATTGAATTTTCCACAATAAACCGTATTCATCTAATACGTTTTACATTAGAATAATCAATTATCTTAATTAAGTAAATTAATCAAACCTAAAACGTATTTGTAAAATACGTTCTTTTACTGGGAACAGAGAAAACGTATGTTCTTAAGCGTTTTATAATTCATTGTTTTAGAATTTATTTTAAACATTAAACCGTATTTTAAAATTACATTTTAAAAAGGAAAAAAAAAATTTATATGAATGCAGAAAAAAAAAACTTTAAAAAAATTGGTAAAATAGAAATAATAAAAACGTATTCAAGTAATACGTTTTTGTTCATTGAACGTATTCTTGAAATACAGTTTTTATAAAATCAATTTCATTAAAGATGTATTTCATAAATACGTTTTCTTATAAAACCTTAATTCCTAAATCATAAAATCGATTTTACCCTATAATCAATTTGGATGAACACGTATTTGAAAAATACGGTTTTAGTCAAAATTGTACAGTAAACGTATTTTGAAAATACGTTTTCTAAGTTAAAAAATGAAAACGTATTAATGAAATACGGTTTTATAAAAATCCCTGAAAAAATACCTATTAGAGGTCATTTCACAACCAAATATACCTATTCGAGCAACTAATATCAACATATTCGCCCAATAATAATCCAACATACACTATAAACGAACAAATGAAACACAATAATTTGTTGAACAAACAATACATACAAAACGATATAATTCGGTTTATACAAACAATCCAACAATTCAAAATGAACACAAAATCCACGAATTCAACACAACTAACTAGGAAGGAGTGTGTAGATCCTAGGCCTGCGTAGTTTAGACCCCTTCCAAGTATATACCATGTGAGAAGAAGACGAAGGTTGAGGTGTGAGAAGCGTGTCAATTTGAAAAGCTTGCGCATTTTCATCTTCTTCATTTGAGTAATTCAATTGAAAAAAGAAATCATAAATTGGACTGGAAAAAAAAAAGAAATTGTTAACTTAAAAATCTCACCTTGTTGAGGCTCGGGCTGCTCTGGTTGGAGGTGCTGGGCGGACGGCTGAGCGCGGGGACGGGCCCGAGGTCTTCTACCCCCACCAATGTTGGGGGCGGGTTGATGCCTGGCCGTGTGTGACTGTGCCCTCATAGGACGAATATATTCGTCCTGGGAGAAAACTTGACTGGACAGCCCCCCATGTGGAACACCCTGGCCCCCAACAGTCAGAGAAGAGAAGGCAAAGTTGTACGACTGTTGGAAGCCGGTCTGCGCTTCTGGAGGGATTTGAGGCATTAATGGTTGAATATCGGATAATGCGCCATAAATCCCTTGTAGTGCAGAAGTTTGTAAATAAAATTCATAATAATTAGTATGAAATACCAAAATAATAATAATAATAATAATAATAATAATAATAATAATATACACAAATAATGAACACTTACCTGACAGCCTAACTGCTCGGCTTGTTGGAACACCGGGTAATTGGCAGGGTTATTGATGAATCTCACAGTCCTACTGTGAAACCATTCAAGGTAACCCTGCTCCGGCTGCAGATAGTCGTACACAGGGGCAACTGGGAGGAGATGTTGTTCTATTTCATCGGTCCACGAGCTCAGAAACGGACATGGAATGCGGCCCAATCATAAAATGCCCTCCTAGTCATCCTCTGACCTCTGTGGTGTGTGTCCCAGTCTCGCTCATCCCGAATGATCGGATTTTGGGGGATGGACTGACAACACCCAAATTGACGGAGGATCCTATAAGGCAGGTGTACCTCCCGGGTGTTCCAACTGAAGATCCACCCCCGGTACATCTAAAATTGTGGATGTTTTGAGCACGCATCCGGGAGAGTATCATCCTCCAGGTGCTTTCGATAGGGCTGTCAATCGAACTGTAAAAAAAATAACAATTGAATTAATAATTAAGTTATTACAAAATTAAAAAACAAAAAAACAAAGATAAATCAAGTGAATACGAGGAATTAAGAATATTACATCATTCTCTCCCAGCCCTGTCAACTGATCCCGGTAGACGACCAATGTATTGGCTATGTTTGACTTCTTTTTCGGTTCCACCCACCTTAAAAATCACAGAAAAAAAAAGTTTGTAATCACAAAATTTGATAATGAAAATAATGTATGGATTAAATAAAATTAATATTGATTACCTCGCTCCGAATGGACAATCAGGCAGAGTATCAAACCTACTGGTCTTCACTATTGGGCGAATACGAGGGATATGCTCCCACGCCTAAACCTACACAAATGGACATTAATTTTGTTATTAGGTATTAGTCGAAGTAAGAAAAAATAAAATATTAAATTTTGAAATAACAATTAAATAAATTTACCTGGATCAATTGAACGCAGTTCTTGATCCACTTCTCCTTGGCCTTGTACGAGGTTGACAACGCTCTATATACTCCGACCAGGAGCGCTGAACCCCAGTTGTACCCCTTAATAGCATCTATGTCCTCCAGCAACTAGAGCCAGTAAAGTGGGATGCCATTCGCCCGCTGGTCAGGGAAGATGAAGGACCCAACACACCAGAAGATAAGGGCCCTCGCCCTCCGCTCGTACACGATGTCCAGTTCTCCTTCTTGCAACACACGGTTGCATTCCGCCTCTAACCCTCCATCATTCAGATACTGGCCTTTAATGTCCCAAGACTTTGGATCCTGTGCTGCTTGCTCTGCCTCGGTGGTGGGAGGATCTTGAGAGTGGTTTTTCCATATTAAAAACAATAAAATTGAGTTGACATATATTTAAAAAAAATTCTATGAAAAAATATACCTGAACATAGGGCTCAAACCCTAGCAAGTCCTTGCACCTCTCTCGCCACTGTAGGGGTGATAGATCTCTAGTCACTCCCACAACAGCAGCTCCATTGATTGGCAGACCGAACAGGACTTGTACGTCCTGGAGCGTGATGGTGGCCTCGCCGAAATCGAAATGGAAGGTATTCGTCTCTGAGCGCCACCTCTCCACGAGAGCAGTAATGAGGCTGTTGTCGGCTTGGATTCGACCGATTCAAAACAAGGGTCTGAAACCAGTCCGGTCGAAACGGCGGTTTGTAAGCGTTCTGTCACGAGCTCCCGGCGCATTATCAAATACTATAACATATAGTATATGTCATATACTATATGCTATATATTATATACTATATGTTATATGTTATATATCATATACTATATGTTATATTTTATATACTACTAGTGGTCACTTGATTGTGCACGCACAGTCGGCTCGAGTTTAGCCTATAATTATAAAATAATATTTTTATTTTTTTTGTACAAAATAATTGTTGTTTAAAATTTATCCAACCTTACACATATTTACCCTACTCAAAGGTATACATACATGCATTTGGCAGCATTCCTAAAAGCAGGTTGAAATTATCTCATATGAATCAATCATAAAAGTAGGAATTTCACAACATGATAAAATATCTAATAATCACATAAAACATCAAAAGAAAGTGTTTGGTTCACCATAATATCCTTGAAGTTGCAGTCAAAAGCAAGAGATTACACAATAATCGACCTAATATAGAAACATAAACTTGCACTAAATTGTAAAACTGAAAGCAATTCCTTTATGTGATATGAGCGAAACTCACAGACCGACTCTTCAACAATGTTGTTTTCCTTTAGACTTGGCATAATTTTCTTTCCCAACTCTATTAGGTAGTCAACAACACGAACTCTAAGCATGAATGTGGTGGCGTTGGCATTCAGTGGCACTACACTGCAATTTTGTCGTTGTGAACATCAATTAAGGCACTTGTATTATTGCTAATTAATAAGGTTGTGTGAGAACACGATGCAAAGAGCCTGCAAATTTTCAGAACAGAGTACAATGCTTCTAGGGTGAAGTGGGTCATATCTCCCCATGTGCGAACCTATGCTTTGGGTCTTCAAATTCATAAAAGAATCCATTTTTCATGACACCTCAAAATTTCAACCCCAATTTAGTTACAATTTTCATCATATTATTACCATGCACCATGTATACAAACGTTGGACTACAAATATAAGAAATCTCCTTAACACAATTGAACATTGAGCACGTGACACTTGAAGATAAGCCAAAAAAACTTTTACTCCATCAACTACTTCAGTAGCACCCTCAATATGAATCTTATTTGTCATTATCTTAAGATTTAAAGCACGGAAATTTATATAAAATGAGTTTAATTTAATAAGGAAAAAGAAAAATGCAAAACCTTGTGATCTTCACCAATAGAAAGGTTCCTAAGTCCTGTGAATCTTCACTTTTTTCTCTGCAGCTATAATCAAGTGTAGAAAACTGTGATTAAACGCACAATCAATATACTACACCCAAACACCAAAACGGTTTCGGTTTGTCTCCAAAAAATGACAAAGGGAAAATGATGAAGCAATTGATATGATAACCTGAAGTTAAAGAAACCATTAATTGTTCTTACCTCAGTCGACAACCGTCAAATTTAGCCATCTCTGCCATTGATGACACCTTCTACGCCTCCAATATCTAACTCAAATTATAAATATAATTAATATGAATACTCACCAAATCCCAAACTTTCTAATGACATCTGTTGACAGCAAATGTAATTAAAGGTTTATGTGTCGAAAGCTCTCTCCTATAATATGTTGCATCAGCTAAGCAGATATTACCACAAACCCACCCAAAGCATAGGTTTCGGTGCAAGAAAAAAACAACTTTGGCTCGGGCTCTAAAGTGGGGCGTGGCCTAGCCCAAAGCAGATGTAGATACACCGCCACCGTTTTCGCGACCCGCTTCCGCCATAATAAGAAGTTCCTTGAACACAAAACTTATCACACAAAAAACCAATCAAATTAGATGAGATCACGATTATAATCCATCCAATTTTAAGTAAGGTAACTATATACCACTGAACTAATTTAAATTTTATCTAGAATAACAAAAAAATATAATTCAGAATTATTTGTGGTTAATCGAAAAAAATAAACATTAACTTCAATCAAATTAAACGACCAGTAACAAAATTTCCACCACTAACAAAATCCTTAGTTTTGAACTTGAAGCTTACGTTCCTAGCTAAATTAGGAATATGGAGGTTGAAGTCTGACGAAGAGAGGACCAGCTAACCTGAGGCGAGGGCGGAGACGTCATCGACGTGGTGGATCCATGTGCGCGCTTGTGTCGGTGCCTTCATAAGGAAACAAAAGTTAAAAAATGAAGTATCTGTAAAAAATGAAGTATCTGTAGAAATACTACAAGCTAGCTCCTTAGATGGAACAAAAGTCACAAAATTAAACCATAAGTGGGTTATGTTATTATCTGTAGAAATTAGGGGTGAGCATGGGTCGGTACGGTTCGGAGATTGATAAATCTCCAGAACCGAACCGAAGTTCAGAGATCATTAAAATTCGATCTCCAGAACCGTACCAAAAAATCGGTTCGGTCCGGTTCGGAGATTTTTATTTTTCGGTTCGGTTCGGTTCAGTTTTCGGGACTATCGAAACGGTTCGGCTCGGTTTGGTTCGGTTCGGATATTCGGAGATTTCTTATCATTTTTAAATTTTTTTTAAATGACCACCTAGTTATATTTTATTTTTTATATGTTTTTTTTAAATCCAACATTCATCAATACTTCATCATACTAATGATTTTATTTTTAAATCAACTTTAGAAGTAACCCTAAATTTTAGTTAAGACTAAATTCTACTAACATTGAAAATTTAAATTCAAACAAAATATAATACAATTTTATATTAAAGTAATAATTATTTAACCTTCCATACCCTATTAGTTATAAGATAAACTAAGGGTAAGTATACAACTTTAAGTACAGCTTTTTTTTTAAAAAAAAATCTTTAATCTTTCATTCCATTTATTTTTTTTTAAACATGAGAAATTTAATTGTAGATCAAGTATTACTAAACATGAAATGTAAGTGAATCTTAGTTGTTATCACTATATTTGATTTGGATTTCAAAAATTCTCAAATTATATAGGATCAAAGTTGACATAAAATATATTAATAACACGCATCTATTTTTATAATTCGGTTCTTCGGTTCAGTACGGTACAGGACGGTTCGGTTCGGTTCTCGGTACGAATATTTATGAAATCTCCAGAACCGTACCAATTATTTTTTCGGTTCGGTTCGGTTCGGAGAAAGTCAAACGGTCAACGGATATTTTTTGGTTCAGAGTGATTTCGGATCGGTTTTCGGTATGGTTCGGAATTCTCCGAGTCCCATGCTCAGCCCTAGTAGAAATACTACAAGCTAGCTCCTTAGATGGAACAAAAGACACAAAATTACCAAATTCCTCCTTCAATTGTTTTTTGTGCTTCTCATCTAAACAAAACACCTGGTCATGGATAGGATGCACAGCCTATATGTAAAAGTAGGAAAATCAACAAAAACTCAGTTGTATTTTTTCCTTCGAAAAAATAGTCTATGAGAAAGTACTCACATTATTTACTCGAGAATTATTGTGATGACGAAATTCTTCCCGATGCTTTATCAGATACTCGACAGGCATAAATCAGCTTTCCCTGGAAATGATAAAGCCAAATATTATATCACGAATTTGAAAGCAACATCAAAGGTATTAAACAGAGAACCTCAAGAAATAATATGTAGAAAGGCAATATTAGAGGAAGATTTTTGGTACTCCATTGTTTTACACAGAAGAAAAAAACAGAAGACCAGAGAATCTCCTCCCATCAATGTACAACTAAGCAGCGGCTATTTTCGGCTCGAAATTTAAGTCCTCCAACTCCCATCACCTACACAGACCCCAACATGAAATCTTCAGTCTATCAAGCGACTCACAACAAATAACATAAACCCCATATGACAAATTAGATGAAAATTAAATTTGCAATTCGAAGGTGCGGATGCTAACTGTGTTGGCAAAATTCAAAATTGATAAACCTGAAATATAAATTTGAGCGATGCATATACAATTTGGGGGTAGAAAAGGCAAGAACAACTTACAGTACCATGACTCATTTCATGAAACGACATCAGCAGTTCGAAGTTCATGTCCTTGCTCCATCGCGACTAACAAAACCCTAGCCGCTGGAAAGTAGACACCGTGGGGCAGATGACTTCATCGCACATAAGTTGTAGAGGCGCTCACTGCTCTCCGTTATCGGGCCGTACAAAAGCAGACGACTACCGGTGCATACCTTCTCCAAAATACAATGATGTTTAAAAAAAATCAAAAGCCAACGAAATGTGTTCGAGGTGAGAGCGCAAAATAGAGGAAAAATAAAAGGCTCAGACAAATTCCAGAAGGTGATAAGAATGGGCAAAAAGTTTAAAGCAAACACCGTACCCAGATTTCCCGTGAAAAAAGATCTCTCAAAGCAACAAACCAAAAATTGAAAACAATAAAAATAGAGATGATTCGCATAAGGAAAATACCCAATTGCGTGAGGGGCAGATTTTATCCGTGCTCTCGCTTTTTTTCACCTGCTTGACAACAAATCCAGCATCGTCAAAATCACATAAACACACAATTGCGATTCAGCTGTTGGATGAAAAAAAAAAAGG